GACATGGGGAGGACCTTCTCTGTCACTGCCCCCAGACTCTGAAATTCCCTCCCACAGAAAGCCAGGCTGGTCCCATCTTTGCTGTCCTTCTGCAAGCAGATGAACACCTTCAGATAGACTTTTCCTTAACAACTGGCTTTCTAAGAGGTGTTTTTTCTTCTTCTTTTTAATGGAGAGTTGTGCCTTATCGCTTTGAATGTGTTTTTTGGTGTTGATTTTGTTTACCATTTTTATTGTGGTATTTCTTTGATCTTTTAAAATATTTGTATACATACTGTTTTTAGCTTTAAATGTTGTATTTTCATTATGTAAGTTGCCTTGGGTCCTTTTTAAGGAGAAAGGTGGGGTAAAATATTTAAGATAAACACATAAATATTTCTAGTTGAGTTTAGAAAAACAGTTGATATAGATGTGTGGACATTCTTCAAGCAGGTCATGATAATGAATATCACATAGTTTCTTGAATGCAATGTTATGTAAGTTATAGTTATTCCAAATGTATGATAATGCACACAGGTCATAATAATTATAATAATTATAATAATATAGTTAAGCCTTTGTAATAATAGGGGGCAGGATTCAGACTCAGACTATAATCCTATACCCATGTAGAGAAAAAAAACCAATGGATGTAATGTGGACAAGTTTAGAATTTATGCTGTTTAATACAGTGAAATAAAGTTACAGTACTCATGACTAATCCAACTCCTGTTGACTTCAGTGAGGTTTCAGCTCCAGTTCCTTATGTTGCAAAGGAGAAAACATAAATGAGTTTTTCATAGCAGGTGCCAAAAATAGATGTGTTATTCAATATGTAAATGTGTCTACCTACAGCTAAGAAGTTTTTTTCTTTGTCAAACTGGCAAGGAAAACTGAAGCTTACTCCTACACAATCCTAACTAGCCATGATAGCTGAAGGCTGGTTGATCTGACATGAACCTCTGAGTCTGAACCTCTCCCAGCCTAGGTACAAAGGAAATTAGTTGGAACTGTGCTAACCCTGTCCTAACATTCTGCTGGTGAAATAGCTGGGCTGACAAGTAGAGATGGGGGTATCTGTATTCGAATACGAATATCCCCCCAAAGGTGGAAATAACGAGGGTCTGGCCCCATGGGGCTGAACTGTCCACTCATCATTCCGCCATGGACGCACGCTCAGCAGAGCCTTCCTATCGTGCCGTTTTCCGCAATGGATTAGCCACTCCTGGCAGGAGGCGGGATGACAAGCCTCTCTGCCAGGTCGCAGAATGGCGCGATAGGAAGGCTCCGTCAAGTGTGCGTCCACGGCAGAATGGTGAGCGAGACCCTCATTATTTCCACCTGTGTGCGGGTATTCGAATATGAATACCCCCATCTCTACACAAGGCTCCCCTCTTCCTCTTCTACACCTTTTTTATTTTTTGCTCTTCTGACACATGGCACAGTAGTTTGCCAGTATCAGCTGTGCAACAGATCTGAGATCATCTGGTGCAAGGGTAGTTATGCTGGCAGTGGAAGTTTCCATTGGTTATCCCAGTGCCTTTGGACTCACAGTTTATCTTCCAAAAAGGAAATAAGGAATTGTTCTTCCTTCTGGATCTACACATAAACAGATAAGATTTTTAAATAAAGTTTTTATGAAAGAAGAAATTTCAGGGACATTTGCTAGAATACATCAGAGGACAAGCTCTCTGCAGACCTCCCCCCACCCCAATGGTCCTGACTGTGAGCAGAAGATAATTACAGTAAAGGGCTTTAGAAACAAGATGAATTAACATATACTTTAGTAAGAATTCCAATTTATAAATTATAATTACATTAAATTATTTATGTCATTAATACCAAATAATCATATTACACCATAAAGAACAGAATCTGGGTAAAAGGAGGGTCCATAAAATCAAGAATGGATCCTGATGATTTCATATGAGTTTTGTGGAATCCTAGCCTAATCACCATCAAATCATAGATCCCATCTATGTTCACAGAGTAGAGCACTGAAATCATAGGTCCTTCATCACATGGCTCTACAGTGGAGCAAAAACATAGGTCCAATACATGGATCCACTTGATTTTTACATAGGATCATCCTAAAACCACTGTCCTTAGGTCCCACCTGTACCCACAGAGTACACCATATAAATTATGGGTCTTTCAGTGCATGGCTTTGCAGTGGAATAAAAACTCTGATCAAAGGCTCAAATTCCCAGGGATCCACATGATTTTCAACAAACTCCCATCAAGCTGTAGATCACATCTCTTCAGGCAGACTGAACCATAAGTATATCAGATATTTTATCCAATGACTGTGAGGCAAAAATATGGATCTTAGGTCTTCCCCAAACAATAATCAAATCATAGTTCACATTTGTGCTACGGACTATACTTCAGAAATTAATTCCCCATTCTGCCACCATGTAGAATAGCCAGCCTGTGTACCTCAGGCAAGCAGTACAGTTCAAGGGTGCCTAAAACATCTGAACACTGTATACCTAAAAAACCCTAGACAGGATCACCAGGATCAATTTGATAGCCAATATGTGGCCGAAACTGTGAAATGTGATTTAGTTCTGATTTCTATAGCATTAATTGTAAGACTAACAAGAACCCCATGTCCAAGTTCTAGGTCTGTACACCATGACGTGCACTAGGATTTCAAGTCCCCAAATTTGGGACTATTGTCATTATGTCCATAGGCATGAACGTGTACTATGATTTAAATATGTTGGCTGTGTGGCATAATAATTGCACTGGAAAAGTCCTCTATCAAGGATAGAGTAGCTACATGAAAGCATACCTATGCGTTTGATAGTTTTGTGAAAGACAGCATATTCACCATATGTAGGTAAAACAAGGGAATATGTGCTTCACATCCAAATTTTTAGTGCTTCATTGGTGCTATAAACTGAGCTATATGTGCTATTTATGTTTAAGTCCCTTGGCACAGAAGTGTTTAATGATTCAGCATGTTTACAAGTGCTCTCTCTACTCTAAAGAAATGAGAATCCAAGAGGAATCTTGCCAAGGGTCTAATGTTTCTTCCCACTCTAGTAGTGAACAACTCCAACACCATCCCCAAAATGCTGGGGAAAGGGTAATACCGAAACATGGAAGTCATCTGGGATTTAAGTGAGATCCTATGTAAAAATCCTAACATTTATGGGGATCCTGCAGATCTGTACTTATAAACCACACATTCTGCCATTTTTATTAGGCCTTGTGATGTCTATTCTGACAGCAGTTTGAAGATTACTTTAAAAATGAGAAACTATGCCTTGAATCTGAATTTTTACAAACTATAAGGATTTTTACAATTGATTTTGTGAATGTGTGGGATGATGGGGAAGGGATCCTCTATTAAAAATCTACACATTCTATACTATTTCTGTTGGATTTGACTTTTAAACAACCCACCCCCCGCCACAAAACTATATTTTTGTTCCAGATTAACTGATGTGTAAATACCACTACAGTGCTGCTTGTAACCTGTGTTTTGATAACCAAGTGAGTAGATTTAAATTTCTTCTCGACCACTCTTTAATACAAGAAGGGCGAGTGAGGTGAAAATCTTACTCTGTGTTTCTGAGCGACTTGCCCGCTAAAAGGATTTTAAAAAAAATTAAGTTGGGATGCCTCAAATTACGTATTTCAGAATGATCCACTTGGCATTCATCATGATACAGCTTTGAAGACCTTCCCCACTGTCAAACACCCCTCCACCCCAATGAATTAAAAACCACCCTCAAATAATATCTAAATTCTTTAAAGAAAATTTGGTAAAATCAAAATATTTCGATCCCTCATAATTACTGCGCCCCCGCCCCCACCCCTCCCCGACATAGGAGCGCTGGGTGTGGCGAAGCCCTGCTTGATCGTCTCTGGGCGGGGTTTCTCCCGCTTTCGAGACCGGCGGTGGCTTGAGGGCGGGTTGTTTTATTTTAAAGAGGGGAAGCCCGTTCCAGAGTTTTCGGGGAGTGGAGACTTGGCCCTCACAGGTGGTACCATGGTAAGTTTTTAACTCAAGGAAGCCACGCCGTAGTTTTCATAGGAGAGGCAAAAAGTTGCGTATCGATTTTTTTTATTTTTTTAAAAAATAAGTTAATGAGGTAACGTCTCGTTTCTTATGAGGAAAGGAGAGTGTAGGGAGACGACTTGAATGCTGGCAGGCAGGGCACTCGAAATGGTTTCGAAAAGTTGAAATTTGGTCCCAGAAAGAAGGTGGGAGAGGCGATCGCCTCGAAAGCCTTCGCGCGTAGCAGCGAAGCCGCTGGAAAGCAGGGGCAGGTGGCGGCTTGGGAAACGGTGGGAAGGCGGGGCCGCGGCGGCACCATTTTGTCTCGGTCGCGTTGACAAGACTCGAAGCCTTTTTTTTTCTTGTGAGGGGAGGCCATAGAGATTGTTTATTGATGAAGGGATCGGTCGCGTTGACTTGAGGTTCGAAGCCTTCTTCTTTTTTTCTTGTGAGGGGAGGCCATAGAGATTGTTTATTGATGAAGGGACCGTTCTCTCACACGAGTCAATGGTTGTTAAGATCGGCCTTGTAAACTTAAACGTGTATACTTCGCCGTAGAGTTTCCAGTTGGACTTGCTTCCAGATTAACATAGGTAGATAACCGGCCCGTACGGTAGCTGCGGCTGATCGTAGACGCCTCTGCCTTTTCCCTCGAAGTCTGCAACTGAGAAATGGTACTGCCAATTCCCTTTTTGAGTATGATAACAATGGTTGTTAAGATCGGCCTTGTAAACTTAAACGTGTATACTTCGCCGTAGAGTTTCCAGTTGGACTTGCTTCCAGATTAACATAGGTAGATAACCGGCCCGTACGGTAGCTGCGGCTGATCGTAGACGCCTCTGCCTTTTCCCTCGAAGTCTGCAACTGAGAAATGGTACTGCCAATTCCCTTTTTGAGTATGATAACATAACCCAGTATATGGTATGATAGCCATGGGCGCGTGCTCGTTTCCCCCCACCGCTTCGCGCATGCGCAGGAGCGCCTGCCCACCCGACTCCTGCGTGCGGGCGCTTGGTTGAAGGGGTGGAGGAGTGCTTGCTGCCGCCGGCGGAAGCCTGGGAGTCTGAGCATGGCGGGAGAGGGGTTCCCTCTGGCGGCTCGCCTCCCGACGGGCTCCAACGAGGCCAGGTCGGCACTCCTCGCCCGCTCTCTGCGGGAAATTCAAATGCAGCCACGGGTGCCGGTTTCGGAGCTGGAGGCACCAGCGGCGGCCTCAACCCGCTGAGGGCGGCGAGGAGCGCCGACCCCCGGTCTCGTTGGAGCCAGCCGGGAAGCGAGCACCCGGCCACGCTCTGCCTCCCAGCTCTTGGGCGTGCTAGACCAGCGCCTTGCTCTGGGAGCAGGCGGTTCCACAAGGGCGGCTGCGTTTTGCGTGCCGTCTGGAACAGCCACCTAGATCCCGAGCATCGAGCCACGCTGAGGGAGAGTCTCCCATCCCAGCTATTTCCACCCTCACGAAAGAGCACCCTCTATGAGGGCGGCGTGGAGTTGGGGGGGCGGACCGGTCCTGAGGGTAGCAACCTCTCCCCCCCCCCCCCCTCGAGCCGAGCAGTGCTGCCCAAGACTCGCGACTAGAGGGAGATGAAAAATCACTGCAGAAGCGGTAACGGCGCCGGGAAGCGGGAGGAGAGTGAATTCGCAAACGAGGCGGGAAACTTCGGGCTTCGTTCACACAGGCTTTGCTCACTCCTCCCCCTCCCGCCCTCATAACCCTCTCCTGCTGCTGCTTCGAAGCTCTGCAGGCGGATGGACAGCTAAGGGTCTGATCCTCCTTCCAGCTTGTGCAAGGAGATTGGAGCGAGCGCTCCTACCACTTCTAAGAGGAGGAAAGGGAAGAGTTTGGCAATGGGCTGGAGCAGTTCCGATCTCTCGTTTTCTCTTGGGGAGAGATCCACACAGCAGAGGGAAGAGTGCCTTCCCAGGGACTTTTCTCTCTCCAAAGGCTGTCCCTTTTCAGTTGGGGTTGCTGCCCTTGTAGAGACTTAGCAAGGTGGAATCTCTTTTAGAAAGATGTCTGTATATGTTTTAATACAGCATCCAGAGTTTATAAAGGGAATGCATGTAGTTTTGCTGCAGAGAAATTAAAGCTTTAACGAAAAGTGAAACAATTTGCACTGGCTAAAAAAGAGTTTATTTATTTAATTTATTTATTTATTTAACTTATATGCTGCCCACACTACCCGAAGGTCTCTGGGTGGCTTACAGCATTTAAAATACAATAAAAAGGCAAAATAATTAAAATGCAGTTAAAATATATATTCTAAAAATTGCCATCAGACCCACATTGTGCTTGTGCTTTAAGTGGGGGGATTGGTTTTTATGACAAAGTATCTCAAACTAAAATTTATTTGCAGTCTGCTCCACAAGAATCTCAGAACTCAAATGAGGAAAGTACAGTTACAGCAAGTCAAGGTTATGTTCTTCCTGAAGGGAAAATTATGCCAAACACCGTTTTTGTGGGAGGAATTGATATAAGGGTATGTACTTTATATTGGATTTGTCAGCTTTTATTTCCCTGTTTGTCTTGATGACTCTGACCAGTTCTGCGCAAGAAAAATCACAGTGTTACACACCGGTAAGACATATTAAAGGTAATGGGTTACTTCTGATTAGTTACAGTGCATAGAACTGTACTGATAAATGGTGCATTTCCAGTTTCTGAGTCAACATTACTTAATCTGGAGTTTAACTCTTAACTAGATGAGCTGGCTGAGACTGCGCTGAAACTAAGTCCTCACAGCCTACAGATGCTGAAAATTGCTTGGAACAACCCAGACCCTTGCCTAACTGTTGGTGTGATGGCTGGGCTGAAAGGAGTTTGAATGTGAAGTAAATTACCTCCTCCTCTCCTTGGTTTTTAGCTCTCTCAACATTGCTGACACAAATGAGAGCAGCCAATAGAAGTGAGGGCAATTGTATCAACAATAGAGGTATCTGTCCATTCCATGCCCATTATAGTCTGGATTGCACAAATAAATGACTTTTTTGTTTAGCAATTCTATAGCAGATGGAGAAGAGCTATTATCATTCCAGTATTGCACTTGTTCGTTCAAAAACCAATTGGAACTTCAGAATTGTCTGTTTGAAGGCATTGTCATAGGACAATATATTTGGCATATCCTGACTTAAATATCTTTGCCAACAAAAAAATTATGTAAGTGTCCTACAACCATTTACAGTCTATTTAAAATATTTTCCACACACCAGAACTTTGGGAAGGATCTTGTGCTTGACTTGAGGTGTTGCCCTCTAACTGTGAGAGTTCCACAGCTATTTGATTCATCACTTGTCTTCACTAATACAGTACAGCAGTGGTCCCCAACCTTGGGCCTCCAGATGTTCTTGGATTTCTACTCCCAGAAATCCTGGTCAGCAGAGGTGGTGGCGAAGGCTTCTGGGAGTTATAGTCCAAGAACAGCTGGAGGCCCAAGGTTGGGGACCACTGCAGTACAGTACTTGTTTTTGTAACTAATTTAAGCTGAACATATTTTTAAATCTCTTTTATAGCTTAGTTTGTGCCATGTGAAATATCTTCACTAGGTTTTTTTCATATGAACATGTTATTTCAATTCAACATCTACATTCATTTAGGCAACAGTTTACAGTATTTGTCCTGGGGAATATAATTTACTTCTGAGTATCACAGTAATGTTCACTTGCACATTCATGTGCTATAATCTATCTTTAGATGGATGAGACAGAAATTCGGAACTTCTTTGCACGATACGGCACTGTTAAAGAAGTGAAAATAATCACTGATAGAACTGGCGTGTCCAAAGGGTGAGTAGATGGCTTAGGTTCCTCAATGAAAACGTCTCCATTGTGGTACCATTCATAACACTGTGGTTGGAAACTTGCTGACAATTTATGCTTGCATCAGGGAAATTGCCTAGGTCTTACTGGAAGATTGCTACTAAGATATGCAGAGAAATGCAGCCAGCACCTCATTAATGAGCAGGAGTTTGCTGCAGCTGCTTAATTATAGTTTCCTTGCACCACTGTAAATTGAGCAACAGGATTCTGGCCATTAATGTACTAATGTCTCATCTAACAATATGAACTGTGAAATAGAAATCTCAGCTGTGAACTTGCTCATATTTCTCTTAATATTTGGCACTTGGTTTCTTTGTATTCATTGTAATTTGCATATGTTTTGAATTTCTGTTTAAAGCCACCTAAGGGCTTTTAAAGCCAAAAGAGTGAGATATAATGTAAGTCATAGAATTAATGAAATAATATAGGCAACAATAGACCCCTAATCTGTTATTTTGGCAAATTCATTGATCCATAAATAATCCTTGACCTCCCAGAACAGAACTGTTATCCACTAGAACTCTTAATCCCTGTAGTACCTTTTGCAAAGAATTGTCATAATATAATGCCCAGAGGTTATAGTCAGATATATGTAGGATCAGAAGTCAGCCACAGCTGTTCAGTGAAGAAGGGTGATTTTTAGTGATGGTATTTATTTGTGGAATACTGACACTGCTACATTAATTTTGTCTTGTCTTTATAGGTATGGATTTGTATCATTTTTGGATAATGTAGATATACAGAAAATAGTTGAAGTAAGTTTTTGATTTGGGGTTCTTTAATATGGAAGTGTTCGCTTTAGGAAATCAGCTATTCTCTGTTTGGAAACTAAAGGGATTCTTTAGATCAGGGTGGATTTCATTTAAATTGTGATTTAAATTTTAAAAATCAGGTTTTTAAAATGATTTAAATAAAAAGTTGATTTTTAAAATTTAAATTGTGATTTAAAACAGTTTGATTTTTAAAAATCTATGATTATTATCCACCTTTCTTTAGATGGAATACTGGGTTAGAATAAGTAATGTGTAGAATTTGATAACAATTTGGGACCGAAGCGTATGTTCTTTAGATATTTCTTTCTAGAAAAGAGGACTTTGGTCTTTAAATTTCCAAACGACAACTGTCAGATCCCATATCGATCTTCCTCAGTTATCCTGACTGCCACACAACTGCTTGCAGATTGTGTAGAAGTGACTATATCACCAAGTAATCAGAAGAAAAGCTTTAACTTGTTCTTCAGAAAAAAATGACTTAATGATACACAGGGCTTGAAAACTTTCAGACCATCTTTTTCTTTCAGCTGTTTTAAACAGTCTGCCCAAGGACTTCATTACCTTAAACATCTTTAAAAAACTGAAAAGCTTGTGCCACATAGAAAATACTTAGGAGTAGTGGTATCAGGTTTTCCTGTTTCACAGATCAGTCAGAACTTCAAACAGGAATGGAAGTAGGAGAATCTTCCAGATCATAAAGGAATCCTTCTGGATCTGTTAGACCTGTTAAGAGGGCCATTTTCAAAGTTTTTGCTTTGCTGCAGAAGCGAAAAGTCCCAGCAAATGTAGCATTTCTTACATTTTCCATTTTCTTTAGTTCTACCCCCATATAAATCTACGGACTAAAAAAACAAAAGTGTGTACTGTGCTGCATGTGTAGGTCAATATTAATCAAGATAGGACCATTTAAAAAAATTCCTTCCCTTCTGTAAAACATAGTGCTCAAGGCAGCTAGCAGACATGGTTGCTGTTCTGACACAGTTCTGAATTATTCATAAAGTGGTGCCTTGAGGTGAAAGATGAAGACAGCCCACAGAATTTTTCAGTGGAAAACCAGTATCATGCCTGAATGGACTTGTGTCAAGTCAGGCAGGGAAGCAGTTGGGTAGTGGGATGAGCTGTACTCCTGACAGAATCCTAATCCTTTGTTATGCTTGGATGTTCTTGGACAGGGTACTTCAGTAGGGTTATGGCTTCACAATATGTTACCGGTGCATTTGGCTGAGCCCTCTCTGCCTAACCAGGTACATCAAGTCAGCTTGCTTATCAAGGATCAAACTCTGAATCACATAATGTTTGACATAATTGACCTAGACTTAAATAATATAATTACTAGAAGAGTTAGGAATTGGCTGATCAGCAGGTAGTTTAAAAATTGCTTTCTGCCAAATGCCTGGTATGCTCATTCAGAAGACCAAGATACATTTTATCTGTACCAGCCCCTGGTTGTTTGCATGAGACCCCTAGGTACCTACAGCTATCAGAAAGGTAATTAATTTCAGATTGTAACAGGAAAAATACTAACTAGAATGACACATCTCATTAACAGATATGGGTAATGCCAGAAGTTTCAAAGCAATTGCAAGTACTTTTGGGCAATATATATATGCCACAGCTTGCAGCATTCTGTGTTTAAGTTGCTAATAAAAAAAGTCAGAATCTTATTGGTGTTTGCATAAGGTTTATGCAGTTGTGGCTAACTGCAGCTAATTGAGGAGGTGCCTCAGCATGTCTTGGTAGTGGGCATGGTCATGTGTCTGATTAAGTAAATTAAATGGGCCCTAGCACCTTATCAGTTTGCCCATGGCAGATAATAGAGACCCTTACGCAAACACCAGTAGAGTACAGGCCAGTATTTTTATCACTTTAGAAAATGTATGAATTAAACCTTTACACATGGCTCTTTTCTAGTCCCAAATCAACTTTCATGGGAAGAAACTCAAACTAGGACCTGCAATAAGGAAACATCCAAACCTATGTGAGTGTCATTACGCTTGTTTGTCTATATGAAGGGAATGTGTTTCAAGTTGCAAAGGTTATTTTTGCTCCTTGTACTTTATGGCAATTTCTGTAATAAAAGAATTTGAATTATTGTAATGTTTTAAGCTTTTTCTAAATGTCATATGCAATGATACAGTCATCATCATAATGTGCTGTCAAGTCAATTCTGACTTATAGTAACCTTTTTAAGGGTTTTCCGGATAGAAAATACTCAGAGAATACCATTTCTTCTGGCAGTGCCTTGGGACTGCAGGCTGCCCAAAGTCACATAGGCTTGTTCTTCTGGGATGCACAGTAGGGAATTGAACTCCTGACCAGATATCTAAACCACTGAGCTATCCAGCCAATAATAGTTCTTGTTTACAATGTTAACAGTCAAAAATCTCATTCTACAATAGGCATTGTACATTCTACATCTATAATATTGAAAGTTGTAAATAGAATCCAAAATACAAGTTGTAATATAAATTGTAAAGAGTCCAAAATTTATTGGATTGCTCCTCAATTTTATGAAATTCTGTAGGCATCTAGATGTAGGCATTTAGGTTAATTTTTCTGTCTTGCCTAGTACGTAGCCCTGCAGATTAGGAAAACTGCTGTTCTCAAACCAAGATTATATTTTCAGAAATATATAGAGATGAGAAATTGACTTAATCAGCCTTGATTTCCAGCTTTGACAATTGCTAGAGATTTTTTTCATTCTCTGAACCATGTTACTTCATAATAACAAGTAAAATTCTTGGAAGCCTGGTTAAAATGATTGCTTTCAGTACAGTGGTACCTCGATTTATGAACTTAATCCGAATTGGAATGGTGTTCATAAGTCGAAGCACCATTTCCCATTGAAATGCATGGGAACAGGACTAACCTGTTCCAGCATTTAAAAAAAATACCAAAAATAAAAATAAACAGAGCAAATCCCACGCTGGGACTGCCAAAAAAAATCACCAAAAACAAAACAACACCGACCCTCTATCCCACCCCCACCAACAAAACAAAAAAACTTTTTTAAAAAGCAGCACCTTTAAAAAAGCAGCCTCCTGGGGTTCCATTGCTGTTGGAATCGCTGCGGCCGGGAGGCTTGAGCCTGGGTGGGTTTCTTCGGCTGCTTGCCTTCCACTTGCTCTGTGCCACCTTCTGTGGGCCGATGGCAGGAAATTCAAGTGGCGGAGGACAACAAAGAGGGAGCAGGAGGCAAGCAGCTGGAGAAACCCGGCCAGCTCAAGCCTCCTGGCGCTCTGCTGCCTCCGACATGGCCAGGGGCGAGCGATCAAGCACCTGGCCAGCTCAAGCCTCCTGGCGCTCTGCTGCCTCCGACATGGCCAGGGGTGAGCGGCTAAGCACCCGGCCAGCTCAAGCCTCCCAGTGCTCCGCAGCCGGGGGAGCGATCAAGCGCCCGGCCAGCTGAAGCCTCCCGGTGCTCCAAGGGCAAGCGATCAGGCGCCCGGCCAGCTCAAGCCTCCCGGCTCTCCGCTGCCTCTGCTGCGGCCGGAGGTGAGCGGCCAAACACCCGGCCAGCTCAAGCCTCCCGGCACTGGGCTCCCACTGCCTCCGCTGCCGCCGGCAGAGCACCCAGGAGGCTCAAGCCTCCTGCCTCTGGGTCACCTCTGCCCGCGCTGGCCCCCCCAGAGCACCCAGGAGGCTCAAGCCTCCTGCCTCTGGGCTACTCCCACTGCATCCCTTTCCCTAACTGTTGTGGCAAAACAGCCACCAAAAGTTCAGTAAATTCACATTTCCCACCCTTTCCCCTGCCTTTTTGTGTTTGTAAGTCGAAGCTCCATTCACAGGTCAAAGCAACATTTTGCGAACGGAGCCGTTTGTAACGCGAAATGTTTGTAAGTGGAAACACTAGTAAGTCGAGGTACCACTGTATCTTCCTTGAATAATACTTGTTTCTTTAGACTAGCAAGCTTAGTTATTACTCATTTGCAGCTTTGTGTGGACGAAGGCAAACTTTTACTTATTTCTCTCTCTCTTTAAACACGCACACATTCTAGAAACAAGAAGTGTCAGTGAATAGAGAATTATTGAAAGTAGACACAAAATAGGGAAGTAGATTGCAAAAAAAAACTTATTAAAGTTGTAGAGTTGTAGTAGGTATTGAGGGGAATCAAATGATTAAAGGAGTGATTTAAATGAAATTCAGCAGTGAATAATCTAGCTACCAGATCTTGCACTAGCTGTAGCTTCCAGATACTTTTCAAGGACAGCCCCATATAAACTACATTATAGTAGTTTAAACAGGAGTTAACTTAAGATATGGGTCACTAGCCAGATCTGCCTTCACTCGAAGGAACCCAGCTTGCATAACAACCAGCGGAAGGCAAAATCAGTTTTTATCAGGTTGCAGTTTTGGAACATCTGGAAGGTCATCAGTATTGATACTAAAATAGAAAACTAGTGCTAGAATTTTTAAAAGTAAATCTAGTGTATAGGCTGTGATCTATATTTTAAAATATATGAAAGTAATCTCAATCCTTTTCTTGTATTTGAAGGTGCCTATCATGTGCCACCCAGACCAGTGCTTATTAATTCACCCGCACCTCAGTTCCACAGTGTTTGGAATAATCAAGAAACATATATGCGGCCTCCAGCTACGATGAGTCCTGTTACACAGTATGTTCAGGTAAGGTTTGCTGGTGTGGGATATTGTAATAATCTCTGATAGGTTTTTAAATCTTCTGGATGATGTAATAAAATTCCAGTGTATATTCAGGTAACATTGCTTAATTGGGTTCTGTAACCTGTGATTCCTGTCGCTGCTCTGTCTTCTAACGCAGTGGAGGAGTGTAGCCGTGTATCACAAGAATTTAGAATACATGTACTAAGTTTTTTTAAGTTCATGTGAATATTTTTCAGTTTTATTTAAATTTATTTAATTTATATGCCGCCCACTCTACCCAGCGGTCTCTGGGCGGATGAGGAAGAAAGCTTTAAGTTAGGACTGACTTCCAGTTTCATATCCTGACTTCCTAACAGTTGATTTAAAAAAAATAAAAGTTGATTTACCAAGTTAAGATATATCAATAAGCTGCAGTTCATTGCCAACCAGGAGAAGAAAGGGTTTTTTTTTAAAGTTTTACATCTCTTACTCATATGCAAGAAAATGAGATTTCCTGGTTTGTCTTCTATATTTACATAAGCTATGGCTCCCTGTCTTGCCTGGGAAGGAGGGTTGTATAGCTACAGATGCATACTAGTGAAATCCTGCTATTTATCCTTAATCAGTGTTTTAAAGAGACATTTGGGGCAATTTTCATAATTGGTATTCAAAAAACTTATGATTTTAAAGAATCATATTTAAGGAGAAAATGTCCCATTGTACCTTTGTTTTTTGAAATTTCAGGCATATCCGTATGGCTCCCCAGCTTTATTAATTCAACAGCAAGTTCCTGTAGGCTATCAGCCAACTTACAATTACCAGGTTAGAGTGAATTTTGTTTCAAAGTATGTGAAATGTTCACAGAGCAATTATTAAAATGCCACTCACTTCCCCCAGTGAATTTCCATGGCTGAGCAAGAATTCAAACCCACGTTTCTGGAGTCCTAGTCCTTCATGCTATCCACTCCACCGACTTGGGTACCCAGTGTGAATATAATTCATCACTACCATATCTAATTATGAAAACGGAGTTTGATGATAGGTCTGATCTGCAGTTAAGGTTCTTGAATATTGCAGAATATGCAGAATGATTTAGATGTAGAGGTGTGAGACTATGGAACAAATGAACACAAAGAAAACCATTCCAGGTGTTATGGTATAAATAATATCTTTGTACATTTATGTTTGTAGGGACTGAGATATTTAGGTATGATATCTTGTTAATTATCTTGAAATTGAGGATGAAATATGCAATTTAAAAATGCATTTTTATACGGAGATTGCTTGCCTCTTCTACTTTCTCTCATTGCCCCATCTTGATTATTTGCTCAGATTTCATCCTTTGTAAGTAGCCTTTGTTACTAATCTTGATATATTAGGAATCCTTAAACTTTGAGGCTGGTAGTTTTACCTGTTGTTATGTGTCATCATTTAACCACATGATTTAGAAACTGTCCTGTCTTTAACAACCCTGCCCAACTCCTGTAGCAATGGCTGCTGCTGTTTTTTGAGTCATTCCATTTCATATTTTGCCTTCTTTTCCTGTTGCCTTCAATGTTTCCTAAGATTTTGTCTTCCTGTGAGTCTTGACTTCTCATAATATACCCATGACATCTTTAGTTTGGTCAGTTTTGTGCTAGAGAAAGTGCAGGTTTTATTTGACCTAGGACCACTTGTTTGCCTTTTTGTGGTCTGTGGTATCTATCTAGATCATTTTGAATTTTTGTCTTCCAGGGTGTTAGCTATTATACCCAGTTTTGTTCATCTGGCCCTGGAGGTTTGAACTCAGTCAAAGTAATAAGGTATTCCTTGACTGTTTATTTATCAATCTCCAGCTGCAATCTTGTTCCTTGCTGCACTTTACATTTGTCTGGAGGGTCATAGCCTGTTCTTTGGGAAAAGACTGAGCTAAAATAGGAATTGAGCACCTCGGCCTTTTCTTTGTCTTCTATTATCATTTTCCCATCTTCATTGAGTAGTTAAGCCACTGTTTCTTTTCTCTGTCTTTTGCTACGCACATACCTAAAGAATGCTTTTTTGTTGCTTTGAATGTCTCTAGCTAGCTTCCGTTCATTCTCAGCTTTTGCTTTCCTAATGCCACCCCTGCAGTTCCTTGCTACTTGTCTGTACTCGTCCTTGGTGGCCTGGCCTTCCTTCCACTTCCTATGGGTGTCCTTTTTAGTTTCCAGGTCATCTCTGACCTTTTTGTGAAGTCACTGGCTTTTTAAGCTGTTTCTCACATTTTGTTCTTCTTGGAATTGTTTGTAGTTCTGCCTTTAGAATTTCTTTTTTTTAGAAGCTCCCACACTTCTTGGACTCCTTTTCTTGTTAGAATCTCCTGCCGTGGGACTTTACTTATCCTTGTACTGAATTCATTAAAATAGGCTTCTTTAAAATCCTGCGTATTTGTGTGGCTACAATCTGCTTTGATTTCTTTTGAAATCAAGAATTCTAGTAGATCATCTCACTCTTGCCCAGAGTTTTCCGTACTGCCACTTCCTCCACCAAGTCATCTCTGTGGTTAGAATCAAGTCAAGGATAACTAGTCCTCTAGTTTTTTTTCTCTGCTTTTTGTAGGAGAAAATTAGCAGCCACACAAGCCAGGAATTTCTTGGCAGAATTGGCCTCCAAACAGATATCAGGATAATTGAAATCTCCCATCACTACTACATTGTGTCTTTTTAAAATACTTGCAGTTTGTCTTTCAAAAGTTTCATCTGCATCCTCTCCGTGATCGGGGTGGTCAGTAGGAAACTCTTAACTACCTTGTTCCTTTTGTTTTTTGTCCCAGCTACATTGATCCAGATGCTTTCAGTAGGACAGCCAATCTCCTCCTCCTGTATTTCTTCGGTGCAGGAATGTGTATTTTTAACATATACTGCTACTCCAAATTATTTTCTATTTATGTTCTTTTTGAACAATTTATATCCTTCAGTTGTAGTATTCCAGTCATTGGAGTCATCCCACAAAGTTTCAGTTATTCCTGTCAAGTCATTTACCCGCCTTGAGTGAAGATTTCCAGTTCTTGTTTCTTTCCTGAGAAAAGACTGAGTGAAGATTTCCAGTTCTTGTTTCTTTCCTATATTCCTCTGATGTTTATGATATGGTGCCTGCTTCTTCATCGTGGCCTCTGTGAATGCACACAAAAGGTTTAAATCAGCGCCTGCGCTGGACTTCACGGAATCTTCTCGAGCTTTAAATAGAAAATTAACAAAGTTTTAGGTTGCCCCTAATGTGCATGCTCCGCCCGCCAAAGCCTCAGTTCCGTTTTTCCACCAAGCGATTTGGAACCTCTCACATTGAGCTTGTTCTTGTAACTGTTTTTTCTATTTATTTTATGGTTATCTTACTTCAATCTTTGTCGGAGGCAGCACCTTCGCTCCCTCCCAGACAAGCGGAGCCATTCCCACCTGAAGACATCGCATCTCTGATGCTGAGCCAGCTTGCATGTGCTACTGCAGGCTTGGCTTCTGCCCCTCATAGCCCTGTGTCCACTGGGCGGGTATCCTTGGATCCATCTGTGCTCTCTGTCGCTTCAAGACCGAACTCTCCACCTCGAAAGTGCTCAGCGAAAACTAAACATACTTCTCCGGATCAGCGTCGATCTCCTCAACATGAGGTGGTGGTGCTTCCTTGATCATCTTGACGCCGTCATAGAGATAGATCGGACGACTCTGATTGATATTAACCAAGGCACAAGAAGCATCGGCGTTGACACAGAAGGGATTACTCTTCTTCGGACACTTCCTCGACATGGAGTGATAGATGTCAAAGAAGGAAGAAGGTGAAATATATGTATGCTTCTTCCTCTTCTCCATCGATGTCTCCCCGCAGACATCGACGTCGACAAAAGAAAAGACATTGTCAGAGATACAAGGAAGGGTTCGGCAGTCAACTCCTCCATTTTCGGCGTCGACTAGCGTGTGATCTTCCCAGCAAACTGCTTCTTTCCCCCGTGACGGCGATAAATATTTCCCAAAATGGCCTCATCACACTTTTACCTCCAACCAAGAGGAGATATTTTCAGGTGACTCCTCTGCCCCTGAGAATGATGTTCCTCAGGAAGCATCCGCGGAAGAATTACCAGGAGGAGATGTAGTTGAGTCTGATACAGCTGACAACCATGCCTCTTCTCCTTCTGAAGATTTTTCATCATATTCCCAGATGCTTTCCAGGCTGGCTAAAACCCTCAAAATGGATATTGAACAACCTGTTCCACCTACAGAAGATCTCATTTTTGGAGTCATAAACCAAGAAAGATCCCCACTCTTTAGCCTAACTTTTATACCAGCTTTAATGGATATTAACAAAGACGTTTGGAACCAACCATCCACTCCCATATCTAGACGTACAGAGAATTTGTATCATGTCCATGGGGGCAATACCAATTTTCTACTAAAACATCCTATCCCCAACTCGTTGATAGTTGAAACAAGCTGCTCCAGACCAACTGGAAAATCCCACATAACTCCAACAAACAGAGAAGGCAGAAAATTGGAAGTGCTCGGTAGAAAAAGTTATTCTCTCATCTCATTCCTCCTCTGTGTCACAAACTACCAAACAGCCCTGGGGCTTACCAAAAACAGCTATGGTTGCGGAGTCTACTAGCACTTAAGATGACTCCAGAGGACATACGGCAGGGTTTCTTGAATACATATGAAGACGCTCAGACGGTCTCCAAACACCAAAGATATCAACCAGGCATGCAGCTGAAACTGCAGCCGTGGTCCTGATGTCAGCGGTCGCTCTACGAAGACACGTGTGGCTCAGGGCAGCCAACATAATGGAAGATGTTAAGACATGAGTAGAAAACCTACATTTCGACGCCAAGGGCCTCTTCAGTGAAAAAACCGATGGAACTCTCACGGAGCTACACAAAATGACAGCTAAGTCTTATTCCATACAGCCACAACCTAAATACAGTAAATACAATTGGCGCAAACAATATACAGTGGTGCCCCGCATAGCGAGGTTAATCCGTTCCGGATTAACCATCGCTATTTGGAAACATCGCTAAACGGAATAGAAAAACCCATTGGAATGCATTAAACTTCCAATGGGCCCCAAACTCACTGTTTAGCGATGTTCCTCCATAGCACAGGCATTTTTGCACCCTTGGTAAGCGAGGGCAGGTCGTGAAAATGCTGCGCGCAGCCATTTTGGGTCTTCCGGCGGCCATTTTGGAACCGCCGATCAACTGTTCCCCTGACATCGCAATGCGATGATCGGTACGATCGTCGCAAAGCAAATTTTGCCCATTGGAACCATCGGTATGCGATCGTATTAGCGATCCCAAAAAACTGATCACTATGCGAATTCATCATTAAATGGTGCGCTCATTATGGGAGGCACCACTGTATTCAATATTCTCAACCCTCCCACCAGTACAAGCCTTTCAAGAACTTAACCCAGAACAGATCTTCACAGACCTCGTCTTCAACTTCCAACCACTGTTCCCAACAAACTCAGCGTAGACAGTCTTACAAACCACCTACTAAAAAAATCTAAACATTATCTTTGACTCCACCATCACACCATTTGGATAGCATCCCATGATGAGACTACAGCATTTTCTGCAAAATTGGATGGCCATCACAAAAGACTCTTGGGTCTTAAACATTATAGAATTTGGTTACCGACTGGAATTTATAGAATATCCTCTTCTAGGGCAGATCAAGCGTACTTCCTTCGATCTTGCTCTAGAAGAAGTTCTTTCTCTTCTAAAGAAACACATCATCCAAAGAGTCCCCACAAAAGACATAAAAAACGGGTTCTACTCCTGTTACTTCGTCGTCCCGAAAAAGGATGGGGGAATCAGGCCCATTCTGGATTTAAGGACACTAAACACTTACCTTCACCCAAAACGCTTCCGAATGGTGACACTGGACACCATAATTCACCTGTTCAAGAAAAACAAATGGTTTGTAGTGATAGATTTAAAGGATGCCTATTTTCACGTGACCATCCATCCCAAACACAGAAAATACCTCCAGTTAATATTTCAGGACGCTATTTATCAGTTCCTAGCCCTCCCATTCAGACTCTCAACAGCTCCAAGGACGTTTACAAAATGCATGGCACCAGTGGCTGCTTACCTGCATCTGCACAAAATTCAAGTCTATCCTTACATAGAACGATTGGCTAGTTGTCTCCCCGTCAAGACACCAGGCTCTAAAAGACAAAAGATTCATACTTCAAGTTTTGCGGAACCTCGGCCTGTTGATCAATGTCAAAAAGTCACATCTCGGGCCATCTCAAATAGTGGACTACATCGGTGCCAGGTTAGACGCCACCAAGGGGCGTATTTTTCTGCCCACAGAACGGATAATAAAAATACAGAAGGCTGGTCGGAAATTCCGACCCGGATCACGTGTCTCTGCGAAGTATGCACAACACCTGTTAGGTCTTATGGCATCCACGACTCCAGCTCTAGTGCATCCCCGCTTGAAAATGAGATCCCTCCAATTTTGGTTCTTGACCCTGTTCAATCCCATGAAAGATTGCCAAACAAAGTGTCTTCGTGTGTCACCAGAACTGGCTCAACAGCTCCAGTGGTGGAACTTCTCCCCTCACTTGCTGATAGGGCAACCTCTTCAACTCACAGTACAAGTGACAACAGATGCAAGCCCAACAGGATGGGGAGCACATTGCGGGCAGCACCGAATACATGCCTTATGGTCCACTCAGGAACAGACTCTCCACATCAGCCATCTGGAGATCATGGCGGTCCTGAAAGCAAAGCTTTTCTCCCACTGATACAAGGTTGTGGTGTGCAGGTGATCACGGACAACACCACAACCATGCATTACATCAGCAAACAGGGAGGGACTTGCTCCGGATCACTTCTGTTCCCAACACCATATCTTTCCAGTGGCAATACACATCGCCACGACAATGTGTTGGTGAACAAGCTGAGTCGGATGACAGGCCAATCCCATGAATGGGAGTTGAACGACAAGAGTTTTCACCTTACTGTGTCACCACACCCACAGTGGACATGTTTGCCTCTCATCGCAACAAAAAATGCAGTCTGTATGCTTCGAGAGCTGGGTATGGCAAGAACTCCCTCGGGGATACATTCATGATACCTTGGACTTTCGTCCTACTATACCTGTTCCCACCACTTCCACTGGTACAAAAGACTCTGATAAGGATCCGCCAGATGAGGGTAGAGGCAATACTCATTGCTCCCTACTGGCCTCGCGAAGCTTCGTTTGCCACGCTTCTGGCAATGGCTTCCGACTTCACCAAGTTATCTCTCCTGCCGGATCTCTTGACACAGGATGTGGGCAAGGTTTATCATCCAGATACAGAGGCCATGCACCTGACGGCGTGGAGAATCTCCCCAAGATCAAGGAGGTTTTAGATAAGGCTAGGAAACCTTCTCCCTCCTGTATAGCTACAAATGGAAGAACCCATGGCCACGTGAGATCTTCATTTGTTGTCCTTTAAGCCACTGGATTTGGTGGCCATCACATTGGCTCGTAGGGCAAGTGAACTTGCGGCTGTTGGATCCGCTCAACCATTTTTGCAGTTTTTTAAAGACAAGGTAGTGTTGCACCCGGACATTTCATTTCTACCTAAGGTAGTCACAGACTTTCATCTCAACCAGCCATTGATGCTTCCTACTCTTTTTCCTGATCCTGTAATAGACACTGAGCGCATGCTCCATACCCTTGACATGAGACGAGCACTAGCAATTTATGTCTCGGACTAAAGAATTCCGATCTTCTAATAGACTGTTCTTATGTGTCTGTGGGCAGAAGAAGGGCTCACCTGCATCATCATCAACGCTCTCCAGATGGTTTGTCTCCACCATTTCGTTGGCTTATGACCTTCAACATAAAACTCCACCTGAAGGCCTTCAGGCTCACTCCACCAGAGCCATGACTTCATCTACAGCCCTGCTACGTGGAGTTGATGTGCCTGACATCTGCAGGACAGCTACTTGGTCTAATGTCTCGACTTTCATCACTCACTACAGACTAGACCTGAGGGCTAAAAGAGAGACAAGTTTCAGGAGAGCAGTGTTTACATCCGTCCTCCAGTGACGGCCCTCCTTCCAGTAAGTGAGCATGCTAGTCACCCTTTTGTGTGCATTCACAGAGGCCACGATGAAGAAAGGCAGGTTACTTACTTGTAACCATGGTTCTTCAAGTGGATCTCTGTGAATTCACACAATCCCGCCCAGCCTCCCCACTGTCCGTCACTGACTAACTTGAGTACAAGCTCTAGTTCTTGTGGCGGATAAATGGAACTGAGGCTTTGGCGGGCGGAGCATGCGCATTAGGGGCAACCTAAATTTTGTTACTTTTCTATTCAGAGCTCGAGACGATTCTGAGAGGTCCAGTGCAGGCGCTGATTTAACCCTTTTGTGTGAATTCACAGAGGTCCACTTGAAGAACCATGGTTACAGGTAAGTAACCTGTCTTTTTCTTTGTACATTTTTATGACTATTATTAATATTGATGTTATTATTGATTCCCATTAGAACTGTTTGGTCCATTCCTCTTATTGTGTGTAAGGCTTTATTTATTTTTTACCTCTGTGCTTGTGTCTCTCTCCCCCTTCAAATTCAATTTAGAGCCCTCCTGATGAAGTTTTTTTACCTCTGTGCTTGTGTCTCCCTCCCCCTTCCAATTCAATTTAGAGCCCTCCTGATGAAGTTCTCCATGCTGTGGCCAAACACATTCTTCCCAGTCCTTGGGAGGCGCATGCCATCTCTTGCTAGCAGTCCATCTTCCAGGAAGCTTAACCCATGATCCCCCCAAAACAAATCCCTCATTTCAAAACCACCTTTGTACCCAGTCATTCACCTGGATTATTCTCCTTTCCCTTTCTGTTCTTTTCCAAAAACTGGTAGAATGGATGAGAAGACTCTCTGGGCCTCAAGAGTCCTTAAATTTCCTTTGCAGAACTTCAAAATTGTGATCTCTTCAAAATTGCTCTTGGCTGTGTCGTTTGTTCCCATGTGGATGAGAAGGAAATGCATGTATGAATGAGAAGGAAAGGATATGTATAGATGAGAAGGGAAGGAATGTGCTTATCACATTCCATGTTTCAATTGTACGTGTGATGACAGTATCAGACTTTACTTTCTCCTTGGTGCACATAGCTATTAGACATGCTTTAGACTTTAATCTGGTGGCTTCATTAGCAGTTGCACTATTCATGCTTGTCCTTTGCTCTTCTCCAGTAGCTTATTGTGCCTTCTGGCTTGGTGGGGCCTCTGTTTTCAGCACTGTCTTGTTTTATTTTGGATTGTCTCATCTTAAGAGTTTTCAAAGAAAGAAATATTCAGAAGTGGGCTACCATAGTCTTCTGTGCAATACTAACAAAAGTTAGCGTTGATGCCAGTGCTGTTGTCTGCGAAAGATCCTTACCCAATGTCAGTGTTCCACCACTACTGCTGCTGCCCAGTAGCTGCCCTTCAGGAGTTTCTCTACCCTTATCACCATTGTACCTGTCAGATATCTTCTGCTAATGTGACTTACATCTTAAGAGGATGGATGAACCTTGGTCTGGTGTCTCTGCTTTGACCATTTAGCTTGAGTGACTCCACTAGAGGTCCATATTTGTAATGGAGTCTTGCTGCCTGATGGCACTGCTTTCACAATTCCTGACATAGTCAAACTCTCACAATGTTTAGGTGTACATCCATAAGAGGTTTTTTTTTCCAACCATGTATTTGCATATGTCTTGATAATGAATCTGTATTTTACAGTACTGTATGTGCTAAGAATAGTAGCATGTTAATTACCCCCTCCCTTTTTTTTTAAAGATTCCTCCACAGTGGCCTCTTGGCGAGCCAAGAAATTACATTGTGCCTCCGGTAAGGTCACTTTTTAGTTAGTTTGTTTTGAGCATAATTGCCAGCAGCTGAATTGACTGAAAAACCTTCTTAAAAATTAGAAGAGCACTTCACAATGGAGAGGAACACTGGAAAGCATCCCTCTTTTTTCTGGGGATGTTGCTAAAATTAATTTGTGCGTTGGCAAAGATAAAAGTTGGCTTGTGGGTTTTTTTTGTTTTTGTTACCTTCAAAATTAATAGCCCAATTTTCTGTAAACGAATGTCTACCAATTGGCTTATGAAACTGATAAAATCAATGGAGTCAGTTAACAAATTAAATAGAATTTTAAATCACTTTAAAATTTAGTACTAATTAACCAAAAGTTAAGAAATAAAAGCATATGGTTGAAGATTCAGGCCAGAGGGAGAATAAAAATAAAAGCCTACTATTAGCTGACGACAAACTGCTGAACATTAAAATAAAAATGATATCAAGCAGTCAGATCAGGTTCACAAGGCTCTAATGGGAAGGCAGGGTAGTTGTAGAATGACCACAGGAAGATTCCAACCTTTCTTGGTGTCTTTAGATTTCAAGCAGGTGGGCAGGAGCATTATTTTCTATAAGTAACTAAAAATTATCTAAACAAGTAGATTTGTATGGATCAGGACAGTCCCTGGTCCAAGATAATTTAGACAGGGGCTAAGAAAGATTGAACATAGCTAAGATAAGTCATTTTGAATGTTTGGAACATGATTTTTCAGATATTACTGACTGATTGCTGGAAGAGAAAAGGTTTGTCCTCTTGAGGACCAATATGCCTGTCAGTGGCTGTTACCAGCAGTCTGAGTTTCCCTTAGTCTGAGTTTCCCTTGCTTCAGAAACATGGGGAAGACTTTTATCAGAAGGTGGTGGTGGTAGTAGTAAAGGGTTAGTCCTTCTCACGTTGTTTGTGATCAGAAATACTTTCTGTGCTTTTTGAATTAATTTTTTCTAATCACTATTGTTGGGAGTGCTGGTGTTTTCCAAGTCCTTGAATTAAAAAACAAAACCCAGTAGTATCTCATTCACCTTCCCCAGCGTAGCTACTGGTTGCTCCTTTGTCACTCTTGAGTACTTCTTTAGATTTAGATTTGGATAATGGATTCTGGTGGTCACAGCTTTGTGTGGTTATAGTCTTACACAGCAAGAGTGATAAAATTGAGCCAATTAAGAGATAGGTAATAAAATGTTTACCTAGCATCTCCATGGAGGACCTTTCTATAGTGTTTGAGTAAGACCTGTAAAAATGCAGTTAGTATGAAGAGATTCACTTTTAGATGGCTCTTTGAAGGGTAGTTGTCAAATGGAGCAAATGGTTATAGGCATAACAGCACTCGGAAGTTCTAAAACTAATATTCTTAGAGTAACTGGGAGGCCAGTCCAGACAGTCTCAGGGTTTAGTTGTACGAGACTGTACCATAACACAGTTTAATGTGTTTTCTGACTTACCCCAAGTTGTTTTCTGTTGCCAGCTTGTAGAAAGTGTATATTTTTCAAGATGCTTTCCTATTTTTCATGGTACAGGAAATAAGTATATGAGTTGAATGTTTAAACTTAATATTTTATACAGGCTTATACTACAGTGAATTATGGTGGTGAAATGGATGGAGGAACTGACCAAGCAGAGTGTTCCATGGCTGATAGTGCACCATCTTGTGCAAATAGCCCACAAAAGGTATACATGTTTCATTTGGAGTCCCCTTTTTAATACAAGAAGATAGACGAGATGCCTGAGTAATGGTGAAAGGTGGATAGAAGAAGAGAGATCAGTCTATGGAAGTAATGATGTGTGGATCACTTCTCTCCCATCCTGGGGGTTTTGTAGTCAGTGATAAATAAAAATAATTAATATAGCAAACACCTTTTTGTTGTATTCCTTTACTCAGCATCTTACTCCATGTTTGCTAAATATGTGTACTAGGCCCATTGTTGTCAGAAGTAGTAGCATAACTTAAATATGGTCCATGTTTCTGGTAATGGAATGCAGAATGGATGGAACAAAGAATAGTTCCTCTGTGAAGCGTATCTTATTGCTCAAAATATCTGACCCAAGCATGCGGGACTGACTTCTTTTTCTGTTTGAGGTTTTTATGGTATTCCTAATTATCATGTGTCTGAACATACTTTACATGGAGAATTTAGTCCTGTAGAGCTAGGAAATGTTTCCTTTCTCAGAGAAAATTCTACAGGAATCCTTGTAAGTGGAGGCTTTTTATCACAGAATATCAGATGTCCCTTGCTGTTTGTATGCACTGTTTTTGCAGTGTACTGAACAGAGTGCTTTGACTGTGGTAACCCATGCCCTATTTATTTTGTTGAAGTTAACAATCAATACTTCATTGTGGTCTTCTGTGAATGCACACAAAAGGGTTAATCCAGCACCAGCGTTGGTCCTCGGAACATTCTCGAGCTTTAAGAGAAAAATAACAAAGTTTATGGCTGCCTATACTGTGCATGCTCCGCCCGCCCAAGCCTCAGTTCCATTTTTCCGCCTAGTGAATTGGAACCTCTCACTTAGAGCTCTGTTTTTACTTCATTCTTTGGACTGATATCTTTGTATTTTGACATTGGATTCGGACTGACTTTGAGAACTATCGTATTCCTTGACGTGGACCTCGTTTTTCTGGACTTTGCTTTCAGTTTTCCCCTCAAGTTTGGCTGCTTCGGACTTCCCGCCTTTTTTTCCCGTCCCACAAACTGCTCCCAGTAAGACTTTTTCAGCTTTATGTCCCCCTCAGGGCCATTTAGCTGTTGTGTGGTTTGTTCAAGGAGAATCCCCCACCAAGACGGGCATGGCCGTTGCCTTTTTTGCCTAGGTGAATCCCACCTCACAAAATCCTGCAGGTACTGTAAAGCTTTTACTAAGCGGCTCTAAAAGCCAGGCAACGTCTTAAATATCATCTTTGGGAATCTACTCTAGCCTCCACCAAGCCTCCTGACATGGAGGTGGCCTCACCATCAGCCACTCCTCACTCTGAAGCGGTGGCTTCTCCTCAATCAGTTGTTCCCAAAGCTAGCAAGACAACGAAAAAATGTTTCTTTGAAAAAATCCGCTACGACGTCAAAGGCTGCTGCTGCTCCTTCCCTCAAACCTGCAAAGCAAACAAAGGGAAAGGCTCCAGTTAAAGCGAAGGAATCCTCTATTCAGCTTCCACCAATTTCTGAAGCTCTACCATTGCCTATTTTAGAGGATTCATCCAGAAACCATGAATCTTTGTCGGAGGCAGCTCCATCGCTTCCTCCTCGACAATCTGAGCCATCTCTTTCTGCTGGCGTCTCTTCACCGACGCCGAGTCAGCTTGCTGGAGCTACTGCAGGCTTGACCTCTGCCCCACATAGCCCATTTTCTCATGGGCAGAGGTCTTTGGCTCTTTTGGTCTTGTCAGCGCACATGAGGTCGAGATCCCCTCATAAGAAGTGCTCATCTAAAAAGAAGCACCATTCCTCCACTCGACGTTGATCCAAACATCGACGTCGAACCAGGTCTACTGACTCTGACAATTCTGAAAGAGTGTGGACACGCCATCGGCATCAGTGGGACTACAGCTCTTCAGATTTTTCATCAACGTCGTCCAATCGAGGTCGAAGACATAAAAAAGTGAAATACATCTGTATTTCTTCTTCTTCTGAGTCCCCTCAACCCCATCGTCATCGTCGACATGTTGACACTGAAAGTTCTAAAGCTCCAGCACCTCTCCCTGTAGAGTCTGTTCCTTTGACATTGACGGTGCCTATATCTTCACAGCAGACTCAGTCTTCAGCGCACAACGTCGAAAGACATACTCGTAAAAGGAAAAGGGATGTCTTCTCTTCAGATCCAGATAAAGTTTCCTCTATTGCATCTTCAGATTCTGAGCCAGAACTACCACCTCAGCCCTGCCAAGGTGACCTTCCTGAGGGTTAAAGAATTCTGGGAACAACCTTCTACTTCGCCCTCCATTTCTCGCCGCACCGAGAACCTTTATTGTGTCCATGGTAATGACACGAAATTTCTTTTTAAACACCCCATACCGAACTCGCTCATTGTGGAAACCAGCTGTACTAAACCCACTGGAAAGTCCCATGTTACTCCCACCAACAAGGAGGGTAAAAAAACTGGAAATCATTGGAAGGAAGATCTACTCTTTAATTTCCTTATTAAGACTCATAAACTATCAAACTTCTCTGGGAGCTTACCAGAAGCAGCTCTGGTTAAAAATCCTACCTGCTCTCATAATGACACCGGAGGATGTGAGATAGGGCTTCATGAATTTTTATGCAGAAGCCCAAACGGTGTCAAAACACCAGAGATTATTGACTAGGCTTGCAGCAGAGGCTGCTTCCAGAGTTCTTATGTCTGCAGTGACCTTACGCAGACAAGCATGGCTGAGATCTGCCAACATCCTAGATGATGTCAAGACTAAAGTGGAGAACCTTCCATTCGATGCCACAGGACTTTTTAATGAAAAAACTGATAATCATCTGGAAGAACTACATGAAGCTAAAAAGACAGCAAAGTCTTACTCTATCCAGCCTCAGCCTCGATATAACAAGTACCAATGGCGAAAGTCTTATGCCTAATATCAGCAATCTTCGCAACAGTACAGGCCATTCAACAAAGATCGTCTCAAGCTTCATCTTCTGCTCCCAGTTACCGTCCCCAGCAGTCACCGCGTAGGCAATCCTACAAGCCACCTACAAAAAATCCAAACAGTATCTTTGACTCTGCCATAGACATAAAAGGAAACCTCATCACCACAAGATTACATCCATTTCTTTCAAACTGGATCACCATCACAAACGACTTATGGGTATTAAAGATCATTCAGTTCGGCTACCGACTGGAATTTATAGAGTTGCCTCCTTTAGGGTTTGTACGTCACACGTCTTTTGATCCCGCACTGGAGGAGGAGGTTCTATCACTTATAGAGAAGGATGCCATTCAACCTGTCCCCTTAAGAGATCTAAAAAACGGATTCTATTTCCGTACTTCGCCATTCCAAAGAAGGATGGAGGAAAAAGACCCATCCTCGACTTAAGAACTCTAAACACTTACCTTTGTCCACGGTGTTTCCGCATGGTGACATTGGAGTCCATACTGCCCCTATTAAAGAAAAACAATTGGTTTGTGGTGATAGATCTGAATGATGCCTACTTCCATCCATCCGGATCATCGCAAATATCTTCGCTTCATTTTCCAGGGAACCATTTATCAATTCCTAGCTTTGCCTTTCGGACTCTCAACAGCTCCCAGGACATTCACAAAGATCATGGCACCAGTGGCAGCTTACTTGCGCCTCAGTGGCATCCACGTCTACCCTTACATAGACAATTGGCTGGTAGTCTCTCCGTCCAGGCGTCAGGCTCTGAAAGACACAAAATTCATTCTCCAGTTACTTCCAAAGCTAGGTCTCACCATCAACATGAAGAAGTCGCATCTCACCACATCCAGGGTGGTGCATTACATCGGGGCATGCTTGGATGCTACCAGGGGTCGAATTTTCCTGCCCAAAGAGCGGATCCAAAAAATTCAGAAGGCTGTCAAGAAGTTCCAACCGTGGGCTCGCATGAGAGCGAAGCATGTTCAACACCTGTTGGGTCTTATGGCCTCAACCACTCCGGCTTTGGCCCATGAATGTTTGAAGCTGTGATCTCTGCAGTCGTGGTTCCTGGAGCTCTTCGATCCCATGAAAGACAGCCAGAGAAAGCGCCTTTGTGTGACTCCAGAGCTTGTAAGGCAACTCCAATGATGGGATTATCCCCCACATTTGCAGATAGGCAGACCCTTCCGACCACTTCGACTTACTGTACAGGTAACGACGGATGCCAGTCCAACAGGATGGGGAGCGCACTGCGGTCAGCACAAGGTGCATGCTCTTTGGTCTGCCCAGGAACAGAATCTCCACATCAATCACCTAGAGATTATAGCTGTCATAAAGGCCTTCAGAGTTTTCCTTCCCATGATACAGGGTCGTGGTGTTCAAGTAGTAACAGACAACATCACAACCATGTATTATATCAACAAACAAGAAGGGACACGCTCAGGATCGCTGCTCCACCTAGCCATACACCTTTGGGAGTGGTGTTATCTCCACCATGTATTTCCTGTGGCAATACATGTGTCCACTACAGAAAACACCTTGGCAGATCAACTGAGTTGTCTCACAGCTCAGACCCACAAATGGCAGCTAAACGCCGACGTGTTCCACAAGTTATGTCATCTCTGGGGGATTCCAGAAATGGACCTCTTTGCCTCTCAACACAATGCAAAGTGCACCAGATATGCATCCAGAGCCGGTCTCTGCAAGGACTCTGTCGGAGATGCATTTATGATTCTGTGGAATCAAGGTCTCCTGTACATGTTTCTTCTTCTTCCTCTCATACAGAAGTCACTGGTAAAGCTTCGCCACTCAGCTGTGGGAGCAATATTCATAGCACCATACTGGCCTCAACATTCCCAACGTTAATGACCATGTCATCCGAGTTCATGAAACTACCAACATTACCCACTCTATTGACACAGGATGCAGGCAGAGTGTTCCATCCAGATGTGGAGACTCTGCATCTAACGGCGTGGAGGATATCTCAGAGATTAAGGAGGTATTAAATCGGGCAAGGAAACCCTCCACTTCTCTACTATACAGTTATAAGTGGAGAAGCTTCTTGAAGTTTACTGAAGCCAGGGGTCTCGTACCATCCCCTGTGTTCTCTCTATGTTACTACAATACTTAGATTATCTGTTTGATTTCAAATTGTCTCTTTCAACTATTAGAGTTTATCTGGCTGCAATCGTCTCTTTCCAACCTAAGGATTCAAGTTCCTCACGTCTGTTCTCCCATCCTACAGTTAAAGCCTTTCTTAAAGGACTCACTAATCTGGGACCACCAGTTCGACCACCAGTTCCACAGTGGTCTCTTCAGTTGGTGTTGCATGCCCTTACTCGTCCTCCCTTTGAGCCAATGGCTACGTGTGCCCTTAAGATGTTATCTTTGAAGTCGTTGTTTCTAGTGGCCATTACTTCTGCCAGGCGGGCAAGTGAACTTGCTGCCCTTCACTCTGACCAACCTTTCCTACAGTTTTTCAAAGATAAGGTACTGTTACATCCCGATGTCTCTCTTCTGCCAAAGGTTGTCTCGGACTTTCACCTCAACCAGCCTTTACTGCTTCCCACTCTGTTCTCTGAGCCTACAAATAACACCGAGCACATGCTCCATACTCTTGATGTCAGGAGGGCCCTGGCCTTCTATGTTTCTAGAACCAAGGACTTTAGGTCCTCAAATAGACTCTTTCTCTGCTTATTTGGGAAGAAAAAAGGTCTCCCGGCATTGTCCTCAACGCTCTCTAGATGGCTTGTCTCCACGATTTTGCTTGCTTATGAGCTTCCGTGTAAGACTCCACCTGAAGGACTTCAGGCTCATTCCACCAGAGCCATAGCCTCTTCTACTGCCCTACTACATGGTGTTGATGTGCCTGACATCTGCAGGACTGCCACTTGGTCTAATGTCTCCACCTTCATCACTCACTACAGACTAGACCTGAGGGCCAAGAAGGAGACAAGTTTCGGGAGAGCGGTGTTGACGTCTGTCCTCCAGTGACAGCCCACCGTCCGGTGAGTAAGCGTGCTAATCACCCTTTTGTGTGCATTCACGGAAGACCGCGATGAAGAAAGACTGGTTACTTACCTGTAACCATGGTTCAAGTGGTCATCTGTGGATTCACACAATCCCGCCCAGCCTCCCCTCTATCTGTCACTGGTTGTAACTTGCTCATGCTCAGGTACCTGTGGCGGATAAATGGAACTGAGGCTTGGGCGGGTGGAGCATGCGCAGTATAGGCAGCCTTAAACTTTGTTACTTTTCTCTTAAAGCTCGAGAATGTTCCGAGCAGACCAACACTGGCGCTGGATTAACCCTTTTGTGTGAATTCACAGATGACCACTTGAAGAACCTTGGTTACAGGTAAGTAACCCGTCTTTCTGCTATTCAGTGCTTTTTTGTGAGTTTGAACACATATATCCTGAACAAAGAATTTGTGAATATGAAAAAATTATGAATTGTTTCTTACATCCTTGTGCTTTCCTTGTCTACCATCAAAAAGAAATTGGCTTTGATAATTATGTGCTATTAACACTTAGAAGATAGTGTCTGATGTTGCTTGATAGGATTCAGAAGATCTTACAAAACTTGCAAGGCTTCTCCCTAGACATCAAGTTACTCTGTTAAATATTAGATAGTTCACATCTGAGTGAAGGACTTCTTTAAAGATGGAATTGTAGCTTTCCTCTTGAGTTACTCCTGTTATGTTTCACAAGGCAACTACTTGTAAAGTTTTGATTTGAGTCTGGAAATGCCAACTTTTATTATAAAGGTACCGATGTTTGCAGCTCGATGCTCTGTCTTTACAATAACAGTGTTGACAATAAACTAAACTTTATTTTAGAAATCCGTGGACCGAAGCATACAGACAGTAGTATCATGTCTGTGTAACCCAGACAACCGATTGAGGAACAATATTGTAACTCAAGAGGACTACCTTAAGGTATGAATACTATTGCAAGTTACTAAGAGTTGGTAGGTGGGGCAGCATTTTTTTAACCATTAAATGTGGTTGAAATTTGTTGGGAGGGATTGTGAGATTTGCTGAGATAGTATTTGGCACCTTAAGGTGTACAATACAAAATATCCTGACTATTGTGACAGCTACAGATAAACACTGTATCTTTCATACCTATATTGTTACATTCCAATTTGCATGTTACATTATTCTGCACAACTCTCTTGGAGATTGATATCTGAGAACAAGTAGCATTCTTTACAAGGAAGCCACCATTGAAAGTGCATGTGTGAATGTACAGTCCATTCTTCAAATATTGTGTGGAAAGGTATATGTCCACAGCAGCATGTAGTTTTCCCTCTTACCAGTAATTATGGGAAGATGGAAGTGGATTGAGCAGAGATGTCCAGTGCTTCGCCTTGCCCAGTAACTCTCAACTTCTTTTAGCCTGTGATGCCAGATTTGGTGGACAAAGCGCTTGATCGCTGTCGGGCCTCCACCTCCTCCCTTGCCCAGCATGGCTAATCGAAGCAGCCAAGCCAGTAACAACAGAATGGGCCACTGCAATAATTAATGGGTCTCTCCAGGAGGGCAAGGTTTCCCTTGCCCTCAAGGAGACACTCATTAGCCCAATTAGGAAGAAACCAAATTTGGCGGCAGATGACATTGGAAATTATAGGCCCAACGCCAATGTTTCCTTCCTAAGCAAAGTGGTGGAGAGGGTGGTGGCAGACCAACTTCAGGCACTTTTGGACGAAACCAATGCCCTGGACTCACTTCAGTCGGGCTTCAGGCCACGCTATGGTACAGAAACGGCACTGGTTGCACTGTTGGATGACCTGTTGAGGGAGGCCGATAGGGGCAATATGTCCTTGTTGGTCCTCCTTGACATCTCAGCCACCTTCGATACCGTCAACCACAGTATCCTCCTGGGGAGGCTCTCTGAGTTGGGAATCGGTGGCCTGGCGCTTGCCTGGCTCCAATCCTTCTTGGTGGATCGTCCCTAGAGAGTACAGCTTGGCTAGAATGTTTCGGCCCCATGGAGCTTCAACTGGGGTTTCACAGGGGTCGATCATCTCTCCAATGCTGTTTAACATCTACATGAGGCTGCTGAGTGGGGTCATCAGTGGGTGTGGGGCATGTGTCATCAGTATGCTGATAACACACAGCTCTACATCTCCTTTTCACCTACTTCAGTGGATGCCGTTCCGTCTCTCCAGCGTTGCCTGGAGACTACTGGAATGGATGCAGTTGAATGGGTTGAGGCTGGAACCGGACAAGACGGAGGTCTTGAAGGTGGGTGGTCCTTCCATCAGCGGTTTGGCTGACTCCCTTTCTTTTGGGGGGTTGACCCTCACCACAAAGAGCGAGGTTCGCAGCTTGGGGATACATCTGAACCCGGCACTTAACATGGAAACCCAGGTGGCGTCCATGGTCCGTTCCGCCTATATTCAACAATGGTGGATTGCCCAGCTGCGACCATATCTTGATGGGGGGGGCCCTCACTACTTTTGTCCATGCGCTCGTAATCTCGAGATTAGACCATTGTAACACACTCTACGTGGGGCTGCCTTAGAAATTGATGCGGAAACTTCAAATGGTGCAAAATGCAGCAGCCAGGCTTCTTAGTGGGATGAGGAAATATCGAAATATCCCCCCCACCCTGGCTGCTTTGCACTGGTTGCCCATTCATTTCCACATTGATTTCAAAGTATTAATGATGACGTATAAAGCCCTAAACGGTCTGGGACCTCGATACCTGGCAGATCCAGGTCTACCCGAATCACTCGACACAGCCAGCAGGGACGGCTGAGGGGCCCTACGCCGAGAGAGGCCCGGAAGGAAAGAACAAGAAACCGGGCTTTCTCGGCAGTGGTTGTGGAATACTCTCCCAACAGAAATCCGCCTGGCTCCCTTGCCAAAACTTGGCTCTTTAGGCAGGCCTTCCCTCCAGCCAATTAACTGATTTTCCTTAGCTTTCCCATCTTGGTAACGTATGTACATATTAGTAGGTATTTATCACTATGTATGTTATTTTATTGTATTTTATTATTCATCTAAGCCACCCCAAGGAGACTTTGTCTAGAGGGGCGGGGTATACATTCAATAAAAGTATATTTAAAAAGATGGCATACAAGTCATTTTTTATTCATTGCATGCGGGCCTGCCTTAAATTGTATTATTCTTTGAAGCAGGTACTTAACTCTTAGAATTGCCAATGGGAAAAGTAACATTAAGATTCAGATAATGCTGTTTAATTAAACGAGCTTTAATTTTTCCCTCTGCCCCTTTGTAGGAGAAGAGAGCGCATCATTTTAGAAGAAGCAGAGGTGTTCTTAAAACTGTTTGATTTAAAACTTCTTAATGGCACTGATGCAGAAGACTGGAAGTGCTAATTTGTCATCTACTGTGTTTTAAAAGTGAGAGAAGATCCTTGCAGGTTAATGTAACTAGCAGGACTCTTGACAGTTATGTAGCCTTGTTGGCAAAAGTTACTTGAAGTTGGAGTTTGAAGTTTGTACATCACCTCTTTGTAGGCATGTTTGAATTTTGTATGGTATTTATTTCTAGGAGTGTTCCTATGTTTTATCTAGTCTAGATGTGTGTGCTCTAATTTCTAACCAGAAAATGTTAACTGTTACGAGTTCTCTTTTTTTAGGTTTAATTTGTGTTTATACCTAAGCTTTGAAGTTGTATTTGATTGCATGTTGGCACTTAAACATTTGTAACGTTTTAATGTGTGACTTAGTACTTACTCTCCAGCTCACACTTAAAAGGGATTTTTTTCCAGATATATTTTTAAAGCTGTACTTGAATCAGGTGAAAAAAATAAGACATCCAGTTGCATTTTGGTTAGTGCGCAGAATAAAGTCAGTACAGTATTGCCTTAAAAATCCAATCAGTGAGGACTTCATTCACTACCTGTGTGTGCTGCTTAGTCTGTCAGTTTCAGAACTCATAATTAAAAGTGTATTCCAGGATGCATATATAACAATATTAACTGTACTTTGATGAGCTAACTTTTTTTTTAATATGACCCAACTTGGCTAATACCCATATCTTAAAATTGTGGAAAGAACAAGTACTTCATTGTAATGTTATGCTTTTAAAAACTGGTGAACAACTTTAAATCAAAGAATTTATAAAACAGTTTAATTATGTGGACTTTAGTCTTGTATCAATACAATTCTACAAAATAAACTGTCTGAGATGGAATTTTTATGACTTGATGTAAGTTATAATGCCTCGGGAGATTCATTGATAACTGCAGCATGTACAAGAGTTGAAATAGATTTTATGTCACTTAAAATTTGGCCACCTTTGTCCTACTTATTGCAGTGATGGCGAACCTATGACACACGTGCCACAGCTGGCACGCAGAACCCTCTGTGAGCATGCAAGCCATAAGGCTAGTGGCTAACCTAGTCTTGTGACAGCACCAACCCCACTTCAGTTTCTCCCCCACAGCTGCGCCTTCTACATTCCATTGTGTGTGAGTTGTGTGAGTCCCCCCCCTTTCCCTTTCAGCCACACCCCTTTTTCTCTTGGCTCATTTCCGGCCATGGCTGCTTGCTTCTCTCTGAGGAATCGGGAGAGTGAAGAAGCAGCATCCATAATTCTGTTTGTGTGTGAGCGACTAAGGGGAGGGAGCCTCCGAGAGTGACAGAGCAGGGTGGGCAGAGCCTGGGAGGGAGAAAGCAGCAACAGGGATTTCTAGCAACTTCTAGCCTCGCTCTGATTTGGGGAACCATTTATTTGCTGTATGCCCCCCTTCCCATGTTCCTCCATGGCAAACATGAGATGGAGCCGCTCCAGAAGTGCTCTCCAGCATCTCCAGAGAGAAGTGGGGAGGGGTCACCGTTGCTTCCTCATCCTCTGGGATCGATCCTCTCCATCTGACCAGGAGGGTGGTACCCTACTACAGAGAAAGGAAGGAAGGGAGAAGTAGGGGTGAATGAGTGTGAGTTCTGAAGCCCACCTTTTTTGACCCCAGGTTGCCTCTGACTTGTGGTGACCCTATGAATAAACAAAATGACCTGTCCTCAGTTGCCTTCTTCAACTCTTGTAAACTCAAGCCTGTGGGTTTCTTTAGGGAGTCCCATCCATCTCATGTTTGACCTTTCTCTTTTCCTGTTGCCTTCTACCTTTCCCGGCATTAATGTCTTTTCAAGATGTACCCAAATAGGACAACCTCAGTTTCATCATTTTTGCCTCAGAGATAGTGCCTTAGTATTCAGGTGTTACTTACTGCAGTGTTGGCACTTTGAAATAAATAAGTTGGTTTTATGTTGTAGTTTGGGCACTCGGGCTCAAAAAGGTTCACCATCACTGACCTAAGTAAAGCATTTTTTTTCTGAACTGCCTATTAAGGGTCACTTTCATGAAAGTTTGACATCATACAATTCTGGGTTTGGTCACCTTCACCTAGACAGTAGAAGCACTTCTTGTGGTCGTCAATTAGCAGTATTGTGCTGCTGCAAGACTTGCAATGCTTAAATGGAGCCTTAGAAGTAAAAGCAATGATACAATAATGAATATTTTAAAAATTTGGGAAACAAAAAAATATGAGCTAAGGTCAGTTAAACGGTAACAGGAAATTTTATAGAAGAAATGTTTGTTCGGAACACTCCCAAGATGCTACCAACTTGACCAGTAGAGCGAACTGAAGAGCAACCATTGAGTAGAATAATATCTTAGCTGAATAGGGGGGTTAAAGCTCTAGTCTAGAATGTTCCCAAGAACATTGGTGCAGGTGCAGACATACACCTGTGAATCACAGAGACCACAAAGAACTTATTTTTCAGTAAAATAGAATGTTGGCTAGAATCCTATTAGTCATGCTGCACAAATTGGCAACAATGCAACTTTGTCAACTGTCCAATCTGCACTCAATAAATCATAGAATAATGAAGTTGGAAGGGGCCTGTAAGGCCAATTAATGATGTAACTGCTTCACAGAATGCAGACTAGATACCCTGTTTCCCTGAAAATACGACCTAACCTGAAAATAACCCCTAGTATGATTTTTCAGGATGCTCGTAATATAAGCCCTACCCCCAAAATAAGCCCCAGTTAAGTGAAACCCTGCCCTCCACCATTGTGCTGCAGCAACCAGAAGAAGATGAATGACTGTATTTGAATAAACGTAGATTGTTCATGAAAAAAACAAAACATCCCCTTAAAATAAGCCCTAGTGCATTTTTGGAGTAAAAATTAAAAGATCCTGTCTTCTTGGGGAAACAGTAGCTATCTTACAATTACTCAACCCTTTCCTTGGAAAACAAAAGCTGTATAGGCATCAAAGTTCTACTAAGATATGCATATTTTCCATGAGATGCCAATAAGTCTATGGATTTGCCTCTTGAAATAAAAGTCTGGAGGTTAACAAGGTCAAAATCATTCATACCTGCAAAAGACAGTGAAGAAAGCAGACAGAGGAAAAGACCAACTCATTTGAAATGTGGAGTTGGAAGGGCAGACTTACAGATGGAGGGGAGATGAAAGTATTGAAATATAAATGGGTGCTCTATAAAGTAAAGCCTGAACTCTTAACTAGAGCACAAACAAGTAAACTGCACATGTAAAAAAGAATACCAAAAAGTTGAAATTGGATAGCAGGCCTAACATGAGATGGATTGACTCAATAAAGGAAGCCACAGCTATTCGTTTGCAAGGCCTGAGCAGAACTTACTGGAAAAGGCAATATTGGCAAAAGTAGGTGGGGCAATAGGAAGAGAAGAGGACATAACATGAAATGGACTGAAAGAATAAAGGAAGCCACTATGGTTAGTTTGCAAGACCTATGCAGAGCAGTTAATGATAGAACATTTTAGAAGTCATTAATATGGTCATATGTCAGAGGTGACTAGATGGCACATAGCATCTTTGGAGTTTTGTATTCGACTACCAAGCAATACCATAGTGACAAAAAGAGTGAAATGGCTGAGATACGCAACTACTAACTCAGTGGCGGTTAACCTTTTTTTGGCCAGAGTGCCCAAACTTAAAAACAAAACAAAAACCCAGATCACATGTCAGAGATGACTAGATGGCACATAGCATCTTTGGAGTTTTGTATTCGACTACCAAGCAATACCATAGTGACAAAAAGAGTGAAATGGCTGAGATACGCAACTACTAACTCAGTGGCGGTTAACCTTTTTTTGGCCAGAGTGCCCAAACTTAAAAACAAAACAAAAACCCAGTGGGTGGCAGTGGTGGTGGAATGGGGAATCTCAGGCACAGAGGTGCCTCAAGACCCCACTCCAGATCAGCAGTCATTGCCAGCTGCTCCAGATCCTGGCCCGCCACCTGTTAAAATGCCAGCACTGTGGCTGCAGCTGCCTCCTGAGATTTGGCTGCCGGGGGGAGGGGGGAAGCGATACAGTGACTTATGGCTCATGTGCCTGCAGAAAGGGCTCTGTTTTAGGAGTTTTTTAAATCACTGCTTTAGGCTGTTGATATCATCTCTAAAGTACAGGCTTCAATTTTGGTTTCAACCAGTTGTAAATCTCTATCAAAATATATAGTTATTGTAGGAGTCAATGTACCCTCTTAATTTTCAGCCCTGCTGGGTGGGACTGTGCATCTCACGTGACTTTGCTCCTGTGTGCGTGACCAGAACCTAATGTGATCACTGCATGGAGGAGGAAGAGAGCTGTATGTTGGGAGGCACGCGCCCAGCTTAGAGGGGACCTCAGTCACAGTATTTAAACATAACCAAGATCTATCCAACACAACAAACCTTCTAAACTGAATTTAACAAACCTGATGCAGAGGCATCTGGGTTGATAATAAACCTACCTCAGAGTTGCATAAAGCTTTAACCCCAACATCCTCAATGTCAAAGAAAAGCAAGGCAACTTCCAAAATGGAGCCTTTACAACCTAGGAAGATGAAGAAAGTGATGACTGACATCTGTAGTAGTAATGTCATCAGCACAGATTCCAAGAGAGGCTGCAGATACTGCTTTCTGGGAGTTCGTCAGAAGAGGAAGCAGGCCCCTATGGCCATGAGCCATAAAAGTCACCAACATGTGACTCTTACGTTTCCTCCGTTAATTAACATTAAGCAAGTTCACCAGAATTGGGAAAAGACTTATGACTCAAGAGAAGTCTGCTCTAGAGTGGTCTTGGGCATTACTGAACCCAGTTGGCTTCAAGGTTGCCCATATCAAGCAGAAGCACAACTAAGGAGGGTTGGTTTTCTATATTACCCTACAGGGAGAGCTTTATCTGAGAGGTAAGTCAATGGCTCCCTCATCAGCTTTTCATCTTGACACCATTTTACTCAGGACCTGACTGGCATACTTCAGTGCCATGTTATAATGATAGATGGGCCCAACCTCCCTACACCAACCTCAGATGCTATCAATAATCATCCTCCATCTCCTTCAGAGGATTTCACTTCTTATTCACAGATGATATCCAGAATGGCTAAATCCCTACAACTACATGTCGAAAAACCTCCACCACCTGAGCAAAGATAATCTTCAATGACGTTAATCAAGAAAGGACACCTCCACTTAGTCTTGCTTTTATTCCATCGATGCTCAAACTAATCAAGAAATATGGGACAAGCCACCATCTACCCGACACATCTCAAGATGGACTGAAAATCTGTACAAGATGCTTGTATGGCCAAACATCCTACTCCCAATTCTATAATTGTTGAGTCCAACCAGTCCAGAGCCAGAAATAGGTTTTCAGTGGCTCTTACTATAAGGAGGGTTGGAAAATTGACATCATTGGTAGAAGGATTTATTCACTCCATTCCTTTTCAATTAGAGTTGCCAACTATCAAGCGGCTTATCAGCGCCAACTTTGGAACAAAATTCTCCCGATACTGGAATCCGTACCTGAATCAATCAAAACTGAACTGATTAATGCCCATACCGAGGCCACCTAGCTGGCAAAACTACAAAGGATTGCGGCTAGACATGCAGCCGACGCAGCATTGAAGACCATAGCTTCCTCGATAGCGTTGCGCTGACACACCTGGCTTAGATCCACCAAACTGTCTGATGATGTCAAATCAAGGATAGAAGACCTTCCCTTCGATGGCACAGGTCTTTTTAATAAGAAAGCAGACAAGACTATGGAAAACCTTTATAAAATATGGAAAATGGCAAGATCATACACCAACCAGCAATCCTTTCGATACCAACGACCTCAATACAGACAGTTCTATCCACAATCATTTCAAGAACAATCGTA